GCCTAGGTTGATAATAGCTAGGGGGCCTAACCATGTTTGTCCTATTTTGAGAAAAGGATGGTTTATGCATGTTTTCAAAAGGATCATTTCTAGGTGTTCTCATATTGTCTCTTCTATTTTGAGAAAAAATATTTTTATGCACAAAAACATTTTGATAATTTTTCTTAGGTTGTCTACCATGAACGTTTTCATTCCTAGGTTTTTGTCTAGGTTGTCTAGTGTTCTTAGATTGATTAGGTTTTCTATTTACTTGATTTTTAGCTTTCTTACGTTGAGCCTTAGGAGGTTGTCTAGGTGTTTGCTCAACGTTTTCTTTATCCTTAGCTTCATTTTTATTAAAACCTATTCCTTCTTTAGAAAAATGCATGGTGTCAAGGAGTAAATTAAGATCTTTGTGTGGAGTATTAAATTTCTTAACCGTACTCTCAAGTTTAGTGAGTTGTTCCTTTAAAACTTTACAAGATTCACATTCGTTTGAGGAACTTTCTGGTTTCTCGGCGCTTCTTTTGCCATAAAATTTATTTTCTTGTTTCAACTTCTCATTATCTTTTTCTAGCTTTTCAAAATCATTTTCAAGAGTGGAAAGGTGTTTCTTTAATGATTTGTTGATTTTAGAAGCGCTAACAAATTCATCATAAAGTTCATGAAGTGCTTCTTGCATTTCTTCAAAGGTGTAAGAGTCGGAAGAAATGGTACATACCTCTTGTACATTGTCGGTTTGGTCTTCGTGCGCCATGAGACAGAGGTTGGCAGTTTCATCCTCGTCTTGATCGGTTGACTCGTCGCCGGAGTCGCCACCCCAAGAGATATACGCCCTTTGCCTTTTGAAGTGTCGAGCATTCCTTCCGCTTTTCGGGCATTTGTTCTTGATGTGCCCAGCTTCTCCACATCCATAGCACATAGGCCATCCTCAACCTTTTCTTTCTTTCTTAGAAGTTTGCAGAACTTCTTCATGACATGCTTGACTTCATCATCGTTGCTTGAATCATCCATCGTTGATTCTTTGACGGCTTTTAATGCTATCCCTTTCCTTTGGTCATTCAAAGACGGGTTAAGAATAGTAGATTCATAAGTTTTTAGATTACCTCTTAGACCGTCGATGGTGACATTTGATGTGCCGATTGATTCATAGATGGCATCGGCCTTGGATCGCCATTCGGATGTCAAGCTCCGTAGGATCTTTCGCACAAGATCCCTGTCGGTGTACGTCTTCTTTAATGCATGAAGATCGTTGACTATCTTGGGAAAACGGTCGAACATATCGTCGATCTTCTCATGCTCCTTCATCCTGAACATCTCATACTCTTGGGTGAGGAAGTCGATCTTGGCTTCACGTACTTGGTCCGTTCCTTCGTACGTCACCTCGAGCTTATCCCACATCTTCTTGGCGGTTGAGCAGCAGGAGATCTTGCGGTAGTCATCGGGGTTGACCGCGCAGTAGAGCATGTTAATCGTTTTTGCGTAGTTCTCCACTTTCTTGATGTCTTCGGCATCAAATTCGTCTTCGGTCTTGGGGAGCAACTTGTCTCCGACTTTCTTCATCAGCACCTCTTCCCCGTTTTTGATAACCAACCATAATTGGAAGTTCATGGAACGAATATAGATTCTCATTCGTTCTTCCCAATATGTATAATTGGTTCCATCAAAAAGAGGTGGCCGTGTGGTTGGTTGCCCTTCACCTATTCCTGCATACAAATTTCTAGAAGAAGAACCCATGATCGCTTTACTCTCAAACGGTTAAGTTTGGACACGAGTTGGGCTCTGATACCAATTGTTGGAATAAGTGACCAACGCTAGAGGGGGGTGAATAGCGTTTGATCGTAGAAATCGCAGGAATAAAAAATTAAGATTGTGAAAAGTAAAGAGCGTAGAAAGCGTAAAGGGAGCACACCAAGATTTATACTGGTTCACCACAATGTGTGGCTAATTCAGTCCCGAGAGACTCTCTCGAGCTACACTACTTCCGTTAAGCTTACGGGTGCTTAACAAACCGTTACAACCTGAGAACTCGAGTCCCACGAGCCTCAACAACACTTGCTCGGAGATAGCGCACTCCAAGACTTCAACCCGAAGGAAAATACCTTTCCTTCGTACAACCAAGGGAAACAAGCTTCCCTTAACGTGTATACAACACTAAGACACTCAAGAACAAGACTCTCCTTAAGAGTGGATATGAGTAAAATATATACGCTNTTAACCACGGCCTAGCCAACCGATGCAAAAACCGACCGAAAAATCCAAAGTTCTCCAAAATAAAAACCAAGTGTTTAAAACACTTATTTGATGTATTTGGCTAAGAAATTAAGTAAGACACTTTAAAAACCACGTCATTTGAGTGAAAACCACGGCTAGCCAAGTTCATGCCGTTTTGAATGATTTTTGTCAAACGACCAAAAGCGAAAGATGGTTTTCAAAGTGTTTTTTTGGAGAACCGTTTAATCATGCCAAAGAGTGAAAACCAATCATAAAAAGTTGAAAACCACTCGGTTGGTTCGGACGCCAAAAACCATAGCCGATAACCGAGAGCCGAACGCCGGTTTCTGAAACTCGAACGCTGGATGGCTTGGTTTTTGGTTTGGGCGAACACCAAGTGTTTTTAATGACTTAAACAAGTTTGAAAAACATTTTTATGATGTAAGAAATGCAATGAAAGGTTTTAGCCTAAAGAGCCAATGCGTGAGAGTTGGGGCGGTCTTGATTACAATTATGACCGACTCAACAATACTAAAGACTGCGGTCTTCGTTCTTGGTCTCTTTTAGCTCTTGTTCTTTATCTTCGTTCTTCGCCTTGTACCAATTTAATATAATGTTGTTTTAATTATTTTGCATTGTATGAGTTAGGGTTCAGACCCCTGGGTCCGGACTAGTTTGGTTGTATACTTTTAACATTAAATTAATGTTGGAATGGTTAGTCAATTGCTCTTGCCTTATTTAGTTAATTAATGTCGAAAGATTTAACTAGCTATTTATTGAGAAAATATTGTATGCCAAAGGGCTATGATATTCAAGTGCAACGGACTAAGTACAAATCTAGAAATGGATGAGTAATAATAGAAATATTATTATTCCAATTGTTAATTAAATATGATGAAGTGGATCCAAATGATGTCCAGACCCTAGGTCCAGATCTTGCTTATACTATGTAAATAAATTTATTTATTATTTTTACTCTGCTCCCTTTTTATTCGTTCCGAGAAGACTTTCATAAATCAGCCCTAACCTTCGCCTAATTAGAGAAATTAAACTGATTCCCTTCGTCCACTCCTCAAGAGATACGACACTCGGAGAGAAAACTAACCCTTTACTGGGAAGCTTTACTACCCGAAAAACTACAACTGTCAAATGGCGCCGTTGCCAGGGAGTTGCACGGCATTAGTTTAATTTCTTCTGATTAGCTTGGGTGAAGATTGGTTAGAACGATCTTCTCACTTCTTTTTCACCAACCACTCGTAATAATTTTTATGGATAACTCCAGTGGTTATTACGGCCCGCCTTCTTACTACCAAACACCTAACCGCCCTCCGTTTCACACCCATCCACCTTATCACCAACATCACAACCCATATGATGAGGACTACCAAGTCAACAATGGGTCCGACTACTATCCCTACCATGAGGAACCACCATATGACACCCCGTCTAGGAACTTTGGATATTCTACATACTAAGACTCTGATGGGGAAGATTATTATGAACCTCATGGTGATCACGATGACTATGACCGCAATGGGCCTATATACGACGATCAACCTGATCCTCTCGTCGAAGAAATAATAAGATTAGAACAGAAAATCTTCTATTTCGACGAAGTTTTATTCGCTGAAGGCTCCTGGTATGAACCACCCTACTCCCGTGACTCTACCCTGTTTGCTGAAGAACAAATTGAAGCAAACAAGGTGGCAATTCGAGAAAGAGCAAAACTTCTCGAATCAGTCCGGAAGGAAAAGGAGTTTGAAAAGAGATTATGCGAAGGATCAGATATGATGCAGAAAATGCTAGATGACTTCCAAAGAGAGAGACTAGAAGCTAAGGCTAAAGCTGATAAATTAGTCAATGATCTCTGCAAGGCTGTTGAACTTAAACGCTCCCTCCCATCTCAAGATCAAATGAGGGAGATTAATGTTCAAAAAGAGGCTCTAGAACCTAAGACCAACCCTGAACCCATCAACCAACAGGTTCCAGTTCTAGAAGATTCACCCAATTTTACACCATCACAGAAACCCGAGAGCATAAAAAATCTTGCTAGGGCTACTGTGGTGATGTTACCTGAATCCCTGCCTAGCCAAGTCCCAACCATCATAGTCGTACAGAAGGTGGAACAAACTGAGGGACCTGACTCAGAACCACCTATGCTTATTCAAGAACAGAAGAAGGATGAAGTTTTGCCTATGGCAATAAGCGACCATCTCCTTAATTGTGTTGAAGACACGCCTCCAGAGGAACCTATTCTAGAGGAGATAGAGCCCACTACCTGCCCCCAAGATTCCAACGTTCAAGAGTCTGAGGAGGAATCTATAGACGAAGAAATACCTAGCACAGAGGAACCAATAACGACTATAGATAATCATGCTTCATCAGAAGACTTAGACCAAACTTTCTTTGACTCCCTACTTGACGAGTGTGATTTTGTCTGCCTGAAGGATAGTTGGAGCCAAAAGAGTTGGGATGAACTTCTGGTAAGTGACACTGAAGACTCATCCGTGGGGGAAAGCATGGTCGTAATCATCAAACCGCAAATGGATAGTCAGCCAATTGCAGATAAGGAAGAAATCAATTTCGCAATCAAGGCTAATGATGTGGATCTACTGAGGAGACTTCCACCCCCACCAACCTATACAAAGTCTCCTCCATATATCATGTTGCCACCAAGCCGCAGGAATGAGTCAAGGATCCTGGACCTTGACCGAGCAAAAATTCAAATAGGGTGGCATCAGAAGAGAGTCAGAAGGGCCAAACTTTATGACTCTCGGATTGGGAAGTCACGGAAAAAGTGGCTAAAGCGTCAAGCTACGGACGTTAAAGAAGCGCTTAACGGGAGGCAACCCGTCATTCATAAAAGTATTTAAATAAGTTTTTGAGGTTATGCTTGCCACACCAGTTTAGAGGGCAAGAGTTATTTTGTTTGTTGTCTTTGTTTTTGCAGATGGGAGAACCGTAGGGATTACCTTGTAGAGGAAGCGAAGAAGAGGTTATGCACGTGGGGTAAACACAAAGGTTCTATAGCCTTTGATTATTCTTGATCCAGCATTCTTGGTTGAAATTAGCTATTGAGAGAATATTGACTTCCTCAGTAAAGTCTCTTTTTCTCTACTAGTTTGAACATGATTTGGATCCTTGATTGATTTTTATTTTGGAATTTCACATTATGACTCTTAAACCCATTTTGAGAAAATTTTATGCATTATTTCATATTTACATGTTATGGTTATCTATTATTTCAATCTTCATCGTTGAATCCCGTAAGTATTGAGATAACTTAGTATTTGCATGTGAGCATTTCAACCATTAACTCCAATTCCAAAATACTTTTAACCACGAGGGCGTGGTTCCGTTTAACTGTGAGGAGGTAAGAGTTCGTGGTTGAAATGATCTTTTTAGGAAATGTTTTGTCTATATATTTGTAGGAAAAGATTTTTTATAGAATAGTCATCAATTTTAATTGTTTGATTAATTAATCTTTAGTTATCACCCGTAAAAATTGGAAATTTTCAACTTTTTGTCAAACTTTTATTTTTACTCTAACCTTTTGGAATGTTTTCTAAAATGATTTGGGATAAATTCACAATTTATTAAGAGTTTTTTTTAGATCAATTAATTTTTAAGTGCTTTATTGAAAATCTTTTTGCTAATGCTCTTATGAGTATTAGTTGTTTCTTAAAGAGAGTTATTTTCAAAGTATAAGGGGTGACGTTTCAAAGTATGCTTTGGTGAGACCGAGATTCTTGTTTTAGCCAAAAAGTAATTGGTTCTATGTCAATTGATGAGGCTTGGTGAGTATGCCAAAAAGCACGTGGTTCTATATTGCGTGATGAGGCCTTTCGAGTGATTGATTAAAGTCAAAAAGCATGCGGTTCTATGTCGTGTGATGAGACTTTCCAGAGTGACTATCCAAAAAGCTCGTGGTTCTATGTCACGGGATGAGGTTAGAAATTTTTCTTGTGTCAACATGACAAAGTTATACCAAAGAAAAGTAAACCCTTAAATTTTGAAAAATACTTTTGCAAGAACATGTTTTCCAATTTAGCCATTAAAAGTTTTTTGTTCTTAACCTACTCTTACAAATCTAGTTATCCCAAGGAAAGTTTGGAGAGTTTTGGCTGTTTAGGTTGGTGTAAAAATATTGGTTTGACAAAATCCTTTTACATTTCTAACAATATGGGTGAAAATCTAAATGTTCATTTCTTCTTAACAAAAAGTTGATGACTATCTTATTTCTTATTTCCTTCATCATATGTAGCTTAAACATTTCCTCTGTGATTACTAATTTGCTTCCATACTTATAATTATTCAATTTGTTGCTTGAGGGCAAGCAACATTTAAGTGTGAGAAATTTGATAAGTCCGTTTCGTTCTTATCATTTACATCATATTCTAAACGTTATTGCACGTAAATAGTATTTAATCATCTTATAAAATGTGATTTCAATGAATAAAACTCTCATTTTCGTTCTAAGAGTCATAAAATGGGATACCACATGAAATCATCATAAATCATCCATTTTATGATGAAATACTTGAGAAAAAGGGAATAAATCATAGGGGGATCAAGATTCGGGCTTGAACGAGCTTCCGGGAGGTCAAAAACAGTGTTCGGGGCCAAAACGGAGCGAAATTAGGCCGAAATCACGAACCAGCCGCGAAGCCCAACAAAGGAAGGTCCTAAGGCGTCCAGATATGGACGCTTGGACTTGGAGGCTTTGACTTGGACGCCTTGGCTCCGTTCCTATAAATATAGCCCGATCCCTCTCATTTTAACCATCCAACTTCATCCCAACTTCGGTATTTACTCTTCCAATCTCCATTATAGTTTGTAGTATAGTTGTAGTAGTTAGTTTTGAAGTATTTTCGGAGGTTTTGACTCCAGATCTGTTCTGTTCTGCTTTTATGGAGGTTGTATGTTTTTCCAATTTAATATAATGTTGTTTTAATTATTTTGCATTGTATGAGTTAGGGTTCAGACCTCTAGGTCCGGACTAGTTTGGTTGTATACTTTTGATATTAAATTAATGTTGGAATGGTTAGTCAATTGCTCTTGCCTTATTTAGTTAATTAATGTCGAAAGATTTAATTAGCTATTTATTGAGAAAATATTGTATGCCAAAGGGCTATGATATTCAAGTGCAACGGACTAAGTACAAATCTAGAAATGGATGAGTAATAATAGAAATATTATTATTCCAATTGTTAATTAAATATGATGAAGTGGATCCAAATGATGTCCAAACCCTAGGTCCAGATCTTGCTTATACTATGTAAATAAATTTATTTATTATTTTTACTCTGCTCCCTTTTTATTCGTTCCGAGAAGACTTTCATAAATCAGCCCTAACCTTCGCCTAATTAGAGAAATTAAACTGATTCCCTTCGTCCACTCCTCAAGAGACACGACACTCGGAGAGAAAACTAACCCTTTACTGGGAAGGTTTACTACCCGAAAAACTACAACTATCAATCTACAGTAATGTGTTTATCAGTATTCTCAATTCGACTTTGCTATGACTATCCTCAGACTTGAAGTTATTACATTCGACTTTGCTTTGATTCATAACTAATTCTAGTGATGTGTTATGAATCAAATATATTTGTAGGACTGAATAGTTGGAGATGTGAAGCATATTTGGAGATGTGAATAACAGATACATGATGTGTCCCTTCTACTGTATAGAAGTATAATGTCAATGGGCCCACTGGATAGTAGGACTTGGGAAAGAGCATTGCCATGCCCAGATATGTCGCTATCCAGAGACTGATAAATATCTGATCCCTACCAGTCTACTTGAGATTCGGTAACAGCTGATTTAACTATACAAGGATACACATCCCATGCCTTGTGTTAAATCATGACATTTAAGACAGAAGGATAATAAGAAAACCCCCTAAATAGGAGTAAATCATTAACCATATACCCAAAATAGGAGTTCATAACTTATATACCCAAAATAGGAGTAATTAATTAAACCCCCCACTCCTTATCCAATCCTTAGATCTGCTCCCTTCTCCCGTTCCCTTTCGATCCTTCTTTGCCATTGTTCATTCCTTCGACTCCCACCGTCACCGCAGCCCCTTATCGCGATCACCGCCGCCCACCTCCTTTACCTCCCCCATCTAATTCTAGTACCATTGTTGCTGTTGCCGCCATCTAATTCAAGTACCATCGCCGCTGCTGCCCCGACCCCTCTCAGATTCATACCCTACCCCCATCATTCTCTCTCAAAGCCTTGATTTCAAGAATGACCGGGTTTTCTCTCGATCTTTAATTAAATTTTATTTTCTTTGAATTTTGTTTGGATGCTTTGGGATGGCAGTTTGATGTCGGGAAAACGAGGTCCATAACCGTCGGGGACAGTTGGTCATCCAGCCGCCATAAAGGAGGTTGTGAAAGGGGTGACGATTGCCGGCAATCATACAAGGCAACGTGTGAGGTTTGACATTATGCCTTTGTGTTGCACTGTGAATTCACATCTGTGACATTGCATATGAGCATCTGTGGCATTATGCATTGCCATTTGTGACATTGTATGTTGTCATGTTTGACATTATATTTTTTTGACACTATATTTGATAGTTGATGTGGCACTGTAAAGTTGACGATGCAGATTTTGCTGCTGCTGGTGGTGTTGGCAACAATGGTAGAGAGTAGTTTTGTTGTTCCGCCTTACTAGCTTGAATATCATTTATTTTATGAATAATTAAATACATTAATAAATTATAATGGGGGTAAGAAATAAATTAAATCCCGCTCTGAGCAATTCAAATTAGTGATGACATTTTATTTTTCTGAACTTTCATAATCCATTATCAAGAAAGTGCAAAAAATGAATCAAACAAGGCGAGAAAAGAAATTTTAGTGGTGCATTTCAAGATAGACTTGTAAGGGCAGTCCCTTAGCTCTATGGGTGAAGAGTCTTCTTCTGCAACCATTGAAGATGAGTAATTCTTGTCTGGGTTGTCCTCATGAACTAAAATGGGCTCAAAGTGAAAAGAGAAGCCAAGAAAAGGGTGGAGTGTGTTGATGGAACGGCAAGGAGGAGAGCAAGTCTGCATAAAGGAGATCATTGGGTGAGTGAGCAACTCCTATTTTGGGTATTTTATCTTTTAACTCCTATATTGGGATATGGCATCTCTTTTACTCCTATTTTGATCCTTCTCCCAAGGATAATAGTTATAGAATGTCTTGTGTCGTAGAAGGTATTGATGAGATGAACGTCTTTTTCATAATCTGGGGGTAATAATGTGTTGCTAGATACCGTTTATTATCTATGGTATTAATTTATATTAATATCATTGCCAGTGTTATGGATACCTAAAGGGTCACACACTTAGGACTTATAAGGGAGTAGTTTACTACACTAGTGGGAGTAATATTAAATATATATAGTTGTGATAATTTTATATATATATATATATATATATATATATATATATATATATATATATATATATATATATATATATATATATATATATATATATATATATATATATATATATATATATATATATAACCAAACAAGAGGTTTTTTTATTCATTAAAAAGGAGAAAGGTACATAAGGGGAGGTGGCCGTCCCCAAAACACGCCTAAAGCAACAACAGGAGAAAAAATCCAAAACACTAAAGAAAGGAACAGACCAGAACAAAAGAGAAACAAGACACATTTTTTATTTTTCATCATTTTAATTATATGATAATTATTGATGTCAAAATAAAATGTAATGCATTTTAATATGAGATGGACGAAATTTCAAAGGGAAATGTACAAGACATAATTTGAGTTAACTTCTGCAAGGAAAAGTCTCATCTCATAGACATAATATGAGATGTAGTCTGACAATCTCGCACACATAAGTTTCAGTTAACTTCTGCAAGGAAAAGTCTCATCTCATAGGTAAAAAATGGAATGACTTCGTCAACCAATCCATAATAACCCAAACATCGTCGTTGTTTTGCTCGACAAAGGTAACCCTATCAAAAAGTCCATCGTGATCCTTTCACAT